GTAGTTTTGGTAGGCCGCACAATTAGGACAAATTATGAGCAAAACTTCAAACCATTTGTCATGACATCTTATTAACCAAAAAACTAAAAAGATTTTGAACTAGCATGGTACAGTACAGGACAAGAAATTCCATGTTCCAACACAACATACGAATTTTAGAAACTCGGCGCATCTGGTTACTACTATCTACAATCAAGCACACCTTACTCGAAGGACCACCCGCATGCAAATAGTTTCTGAAACACTGCATAGTGATGAACTAGCGATGGCACCATGTTTGCCCAGATTATTTCTTTTTTTCTGGAATACACAAGAGAGCCGCATATCATTGCATTAAGTTAGGAAAAATGCCCAGACTCAATGGAAATCCTGGAAACTTATCGACCGCATAAAACTAAATTTTCCACACAGGAAGGACCACATGTTCAGTGTCGCATGCAAATTTTAGTTTCAAGACCACCAACCACATTTTTATAACTGCATGCTTACAACGAATTACTTTTCTCAAAATCCAAATCACTCTTGTAGCCAAATTATATTCTCTCAAACATAACCACCATACATGAGACCTCTTCATCATTGGAGTACATTGCAGACTTTTTGAATCAAAAGGTAGCATGTGTATTCCTAGCCACAACATCTTAACTTAGATTCTGGCAGTGCTTCAAGTCTGAACAAATTATGCAGTCAGTCAATCAGTAAGATAACACTGATGCTATCACATTGCAATGCAACAGGTATCAATTTATGAGCCATCGGAAAGACACCAGTATGTTTTTGTGCAACCACAGTCCAAGACACATTTTTGTGCAAATTACAAATACTGAGATTTGCTAACACATTTTGGTGCAACCACAGTCTGTCAATCAGTCAAATTACAAATACTGAGATTTGGTAACACATTTTTGTGCAACCACATTCCAAGACACCAGTATGTTTTTGGTCAAATTATCAAGTTATGAGCCATCAGAAAGGCAGAAAGAAAAAGCTCATCTACAACTCAACATATGTTTATATTCATGCGAAATGATGAGCAAAGAGCTTACAACTAGATAGATAACAATTCAGAACAAACACAACTTGATGCAACTGCAGTCTATCCTAGATTTCAAACACACTATAATACAATTCTCTTGATAAACAATTTAACAAATCGCACAATGGACCAGTTATTTAGTTTAACAAACATTTAGAATAATAAGGCATTGATATGATCGAATAGGTCCAATATTTTGACAACCTGGTTCAAGAAATACAAAATGATCTTTGGTAAACAATGTGAAACCCACTGCAGGAAAAAAATAAAAATCAAAGAGACTATCAGGTATGAGTTAATTCTAACTACACGTTCCCCCGTTTGCAGCACCCTGCCTCCACGGAACAACACTTTGGGGTAAGCAGCCAGCATGCCAGCTGATAATTTCACAAATAGTGCCTTTCGTCAACTCTTTGGAGTAACTCTAGAAACAAACAAAATTATTTCATACAGCAGGCTGGAGCCCCATCGCTTCTCCAAGCAGAAATGTCATAAAACTGCTACCATAGAAGCTTGACCAGGAAACGTTTTTTAGATAAAAAAAGAACTACAAGCATAACACTTAAGCTGTCCAATAAACATTACGACAAACACAAACGATTACGTCACAACCCAGAAGAGACAACGAGACAACTGTCCAGTATTCTAAGCCCGAAGTCGATTATTACATACAACATCACATGCATATTTAGGAAGCAGTTCCAGCATCATTCACGCTCTTCCCCCATGGGAAACAGATTTTATAACGAGGCAATTGTCGAGTTTCAGTGCCTTCATACTTTGACACTTCCCAGCTATCATCATCTGTAACAGAATCCAGTAAAGCAGCATAAATACTTGATTAACAATCAGTACAATACAAGAGAAATGATTCCCCATTAACCCACCAGATGCAAAGATCAAATGCCGTTTCCATTAGCATGGCCTTATGTTTCTCCAGATCCACAATAATTGAGACAGAAATAAAACAACGATAGATACAATATTACTTCCCCAGTTTCTTGTTCAACACTAAGACACTATGCACAGTACAAATTTACACTTGAAACCTTCTTGCCTCTTAACAAGAAAAGAAGTTTGAGGGAGCTCCGTGTAGGTGTCACTATCAAGATATAAACAAAATGAAAACACGCAGACTAACAGAAGCCAAGGCCAAATAATCAGTTGGTTCTACACCTAAATGATTAGTTTTAATTCTTTATATCAGTATAATCATCCAATCTATTATTTAGAACCTCCTTCTTTATATCAGTATAATCACCAATCTATTATTTAGAACCTCCAGGATTTAATGCTATTCTCAAATTAAAATTAGAGACATACCTTCAGGGAAGAGAACCCTAGCTTCTGGATCAATATACCGGCCGATGTTACTAGGGAAATACGCGACACCAGCACCACAAATCCTTTCATTCGCAAACTCAACTACGTTTAGCAGCATGTTATCTTTCACATCAAGAGCAAGAACAAACACCTTGGAGTCTGAGAATTTGACCTTGGCCTGCAAGTAAACAACATTATCATCCATGCCAGGAGCTGGGAAGGACACCAAGAGATTCTGAAAGGCTCGCTCCGATGATAGCAATCCAGATTGGGCCATCTTCCATTTGAGCTTGCTGCTGATATTTGTCTTGGATGCTTGGATGGCGCAGTCAATTTTCCAGTCATTCCAAGAGGTGGTCATCTTGCTGTTGCTCCATGTGGTGACCTTCCAGTCACGCAACGCCCAGTCAGGAAACTCTCCATCATCACTATCATCACTATCTTCAGGAGGAATTGGAGTTGGAGTTGGTTCCAAGTGAACAAATCTGAGGCAGTGCTCCATGCCAGGTTTATTGACAAAGGTAATGCCACGGAGTGATTGTGGGCAGAATAGTTTGGCTCCCTGCCCATAGTCGCTGTTCAAAAGCTCCGTTGGCAAGGGCACCGGCACGCCACGGAGCTTGGGCTCCGGGACGAGCACATCACAGAGAAGGGCGCCGCGCCAGAGATCGACCCAGCCCATGGTGCCACCTTCGCCACCGATTGGGATGACGATGGACGTGAGATGGAAGAGAATCCGACTCGAGTTCATGGGGATCCTGCGGGGGAACTTGTCCTGCGGTTCCACCAACGGCACCTCAGCGGCACTCCACGTCTTGCTCGCGGAGTCGAAGCGTTGGAGCTCGTACACGCCACACGTACCTGTGGCGTGCAACGCGGCGACGATGTAGTGCCCGTCCCCGCGACTTAGGAGACCGACATCTTGGTCGCGGAAGATGGTACGCGGGCGCGGCAGCAGCTCGAGTGACGCACCCTTCCCGCCTCCGGGCCGGTAGATGAAGTAGTCGTGGTCGTTCAGATCCAGCGAGTCGGAT